AACCATCAAACATAATTGAGAAAACCCAAAAGAAGAATGTGTTGTATTTACCTATATTTTGTTCTTTCTATTGTTATTGCTTCCTTCTTGATGTTCCAAGATTTTTTCTTAATCATTTCCTTTCTGTTTCAAGAACTTCCTTTGTGGGAGATCTACTGGTGACAAATGTTATTATTTCCCCTTGATTCCTGAAAGATAATTTTGCTGAATATAGAATTTAGGGTTGCCAGTCTTTTCTTTTAGCACATGAAACATGTATTGTTTCCTTCTGGCCTCCATGGTTTCTGATGAGAAATCGAAGGTATTTGCATTGTTTTAACCCTATAGATAAGTTGTCTTTTCCCTCTTTCTGATTTTAAGACTTTTGTTCCCTTGTTTTTCTGAACTTGGCATGGATTTCTTTGAGTTTATATTTGTTGAGGGTCACTCAGCTTCTTGAGTCTGTAGGTTTATGTATTTTGCCAAATTTAGGAATACCTTTCTTTAGCTCTATCCTTTTTCTCCTGTCCTGGGATTCCAATGATGTGACTGTTGGAGCTTCTGTTATACTTCCACGGGTCCTTCAGGGTTGGTTCATTTTTCTTCAGTCTGATCTCTCTATTGTTCAGTCTGGGTCATTTCTATTGTTTTATCTTCACTGTCATTGATATTTTTCTTCTGTCTTCTCCATTCTACTCTTGAGTCCGTCCATTGAGTTTTCTATTTTGGCTATTGTATAGTTCTAAAGCGTTCATTTTTTTTTTTTTCCTATTTCTTTGTGAGACATCCTAACTTTTCTTTTGTTTCAAGCATGATTGTAATTGCTTATAGAAATATTTTTTACGATGATTAAAAATGTTGTTGGATTATTTTTACATGTGTCATTTTGGTGTTAGCATCTGTTGATTGCCTTTTCTTGTGCAAGTTCAGATTTTCCTCGTTCTTGGTATGATGAGTGATTTTTAATTTTATCCTGGACATCTTGAGCATTATAAGAAATATGGATGTTATTTTATTTTATTTTTTTAGACAGAGTGGAAGGGAGGGAGGGGAAGAGTGAAAGAGACAGAAACATCGATATGAGAGACACATCGACTGGTTGCCTCCACACGACCCTGACCAGGGCCTGGGGATTGAACCTACAACCCAGGTACATGCCATTGACCTGGAATTGAACCTGCACCTCTTTGATTCACAGGCCAATGCTCTAACTGCTGAGTAAAACTAGCCAGGGCAATCTGGTTGTTATTTACATCTTCTCTTTTAACCAACCTCCCTTGACACCATGCTGCCAGGTGAAGGGGGGTGTCTTGCCTGTTACCACCAGGTGGAGGTGGACATTAGGTGTACCACTTGGCCTCTACTGACACCACAGTGTCGTTCCTTGGGTCTCAAGGATCCTAGCTGGTCCCCCTTTTTCTCTCTACCTTTCAACATCTAGTTATGTTTGTTTTTTATTTAATGTACAAGATTTTTAGCTGTGCATAATGGGAGGAATAAGGAGAATTGCATGACACTCTCTTGGTCCTGAACTGGAAGTTTTAGAGTCGTTTTATTTTATTTTGTTATGTAGTTGGTGAAACACATGATCCAAGTAAATCTACGGCAATGATGATGCTTTAGGCTAAAATTTAGAGTGTTTGCAGTCATAACCAGTGTATTCACTTCTTTCTGAATCGTGGATTTTGGGGGAAAACCAGCACTCATTGCTCAATGACTGTTGCTACTACATAAAGTAATGGAAAGGTTTTTGTTTTTATTAAAAAGTTTAAGGAAGGAAGTTAATTTTTTTTTTTTACTTAAAAATACCACCTGATTTTTTTTCTTAGAATATATTTAAGGAGTCTGTTTAAACACACCTGAAGATGGAAATTATATCCTCATTTTAAGCTTTCTGTTCTTGACAGAGTCATACTCTACAGTGACACAGTATCATTGAATTTTATTATTTATTTTTACTAATTAATTTCTTTTTGTTACAGATGTTTTTCCTTTTCCCCTCATTGACACCTTCTTCCCAACCCCCCCACCCCAGCATTGTTGTCTGTGTCCATTGGTGATGCATATATGCATATAAGTTCTTTGGTTTATCTCTTCCCTCCTCCGTGACCCTCTCCTCTAAGGTTTGTCAGTCTGAATCCTACTTCTGTGTCTCTGGGTCTATTTTGTTCAGCAGCTTATTTTGTTCATTATATTCCACAAATGTGAGATCATGTGATATTTGTCTTTCTCTGATTGGCTTGTTTCACTTAGCAGAGTACTCTCTGGGTCCCTCTGTGTCGTCTCAAAGGATAAGAGATCTTTCTTTCTTACAGCTGCATAGTATTCCATTGTGTATATGTACCACAGCTTTTTTATCCACTCATCTATTTATGGACACTTGGGCTGTTTACAGATCTTAGCAATTATAAATAGTGCTGCTATGAACATAGGAATACATAATATTCTTTCTGATTGGTGTTTCAGGCTTCTTAGGATATGTACCTAGATGTGGGATCACTGGGTCAAATGGCAGTTTAATTTTTAATTTTTTGAGGAAACATCATAGTGTTTTCCATAGTTGCTGCACCAGTCTGCATTCCCACCAGCAGTGTACTAGAGTCTCCTTTTCTCCATAGCCTCACCAGCCCTTGTTGTTTGATGATTTGTTGATGGCGGCCATTCTGACAGGTGTGAGGTGATACCTCATAGTTGTTTTAATTTACATCTCTCTGATGATTTGTGATGAGCATTTTTTCATATACCTCTTGGCTATTTGTATGTCCTGTTTGGAGAGGCATCTATTTAGGTCCTCTGCCCATTTTTAATTGGATTTTTGTCTTCCTTTTGTTGAGTTGTATGAGTACTCTATATATTTTGAAAATTAACCCCTTATTTGATGTGTCATTGGCAATTATGCTGTCCCATACAGTGGGTTCCCTTTCCATTTTGATGGTTGTTTTTTTTGCTTTGCAGCTTTTTAGTTTGATGTAGTTCCATGTGTTCATTTTCTTCTTGTTTCTCTTGCCTTAGACATTGTATCAATGAAAATTCTGCTATGTGTGATGTCTGAAATTTTGTTGCCTACACTTTCTTCTAGGATGTTTATGGATTCATAAGTCACATTTAAGTCTTTTATCCATTTTGAGTTTATTCTTGTATATGGTGTAAGTTGATGGTCTGGCTTCATTTTTATTTTTTATTTTTTGCATGTAGCTGTCCAGTTTTTCCAATAACATTTATTAAAGAGGCTGTTTTTACTCCATTTTATGCTCTTGCCACCTTTGTCAAATATTAATTGAGCATAATGTCTTGGGTCAATTTCTGGGTTCTCTGCTCTGTTTCATTGATCAATATGCCTGTTCTTGTCCCAGTACCAGGCTGTTTTGATTAGAAAGGCTTTGTAGTATAATCTGATATTTGGTATTGTGAGTATCATTGAATATTAAATAAAAGTGCTATGGAAAAGGATGGGAAGTATAGCTTGATGTATATTTTATTTTTCCTCTTGACTAGAATAAAGATTCTAAGTTATAGGCTTTAACTATCATGTCACAAAGAAAGCAGTCAGAAAGTTGACTATACCTGCTAATTAGAGACCAGGTTCAACAGGAAAACCCAATTGTTACCAACATTCCAGAGAAAGCACAGCCTTTACCTTATAATGAATCAATCTATCCACACTGTAGCCTAGAGTTAGCAAATATATTTAAGAGCCTTTTAATTTTTACATTGCTTTGGTTCCCAGCCTCAATGATGCTGTGAAGGGGTCAGCAAATTGTTTTCATACAAGGCCAGATAATAAATATTTTAGTGTTTATGGGCCATACACTCTGATCTGTTGTAAATACTCAACACCTACATTGTAGCATGAGAAAAGCCATAGGTGACACATAAACAAACGAATGTGGCTATGTTTTAATAAAGCTTTATTTACAAAACCAAGCAGCAGGCCAGATTTGGCCAATGGGTTATGCTTTGCTGACTCTTGGTGTATACCCATGTGGCAGGATACTTTAGATTCTTAGCTCTTTATTTCTCATGTGTAGACAAGTTCTTTCATGCCTCCTTGACTTGGGGATTTTGAAACAACAGAAATCAGAAGTGGCTTGAAATCAACTCTTCTATTTATTTTGAAATCCAAGACAGAGATTATAAATCAGCGTCTACAAGACTGACTACGGCCAATGACTACTTTTGCTTGGCCCAAATAATGTTTGCACGGCATTTGAATTAGTATTTAGCATTTAACAATCAGGATGTTTCACATAAAAATTGAGATCTCTGACTGTTCTAGAAACACTGTCATGGCAGGCAAGGTAGTGCCTGTGTCTCTCATGACAGCAACTGACTAAAGCAGGACAGTTGCTGCTCCTTTGGAACAGGTCTCCCCAGTCCCCACAACTCCCTGTTGTCTCTGAAATAAATTTCAGGGTTAGTTACTATCTATTATTTTTCCCTGGCTTTTTTTTTTCTCTTTATGGTAAAGGATCATTTATTTATTCTAGTGTCTATACCATTGTTCATATTTAAATCCTTGGGCTCCTTTTCCTTACCTGCCATCCTTGGCCTGATGCCATTGTAGAACTAATGCTAGGTATTCCAGATGAGAATAGGGGAAGAATAACACTTCAGAAGGAAAAGAGAAAGATGCCATTTCTCTAAACTGGCAAGTGTTAAGACAACAGTGAGACCTCAGGAAAACAGGACTGCATTGTGTTCTGTGGGTCTGGTGGTTTTAAAACATATTGTAAATTTTTTCACGCTCTTCACTTGAGACCAGGCTGGCCTGTGTGACTTACTCAAGGGAGAGAATGTGATGGAGGTAATGCTGGGTGACTTCTGAGGCAAAAAACCATACCATTTCTGCTGCTTTCTCTTGTGATACCCACTTTGGGAACCTTCACAACCGTGTGAGAAGCCTGGGTACTGGGAAGTGGCCATGTGGAAAGATCATGTAGAGAGACCACAGTGATAAGGAGGGGTGCCCAAGCAACTCCAGCTGTTCTGACTCCCAGCTTTTTTGAACATCCTTCGTCCAGTAACCGTGTAAGCAAGAAGCCTACAAGATGACGCCAGCCCCAATCACCATCTGATTGCAACTTCATGAAAGACTAAGCAAGAACCACCTAGCTGAGCCCAGTCAGCTCCCAGAGCAAGGTAAATGATTGCTACTGCTTTAAGCTACTCTTCTGGGCAGTTTTTAAAAATATAATAACCGGTAACCAGAATAGTGGAAGCGCTGGAAAGAAATGGAAAAGCCCCTAAAGGATGGCTGCACAGTGCAAGGTGGCTTTCTTGCCTTGGCAGAGAATCCTGTAAACAGAAAGCAGCTGATCTTGAAAAAACGCCGGTGGGTTTGGCTAGAGGACACAAATCGTGTCCAGTGGAGGCAGAGACAGAAGACTAGAGGGTCCCCTCTTCCTAGCACTACCAAGTTCTGAGCAACTTTTGGAAGGAGAGAAGGAAAAGAGGAGGAGGAGAGAATTCTAATTTTGGGGCCTGAAATTCTGGCCAGTTCAGGGGATGAAGTCAATGTTTATATTATTTAAAAACAATTTAAAAGCATTGCTTCTTTAACATTCTAATTTGGGGACTCTGATTCAAATTAGTATGGAAAAGGAAGCCCTCGATTTGCCCAATATTGGAAACAGCACCCTTTTTCGCCCTCAGCCAATCACAAGTTTGCTAATACAATGGACTATTTAGCAAAAAATGTTGTGAAATTAGACAACATAGGATATCTGTCAGCTCTAAAAATTCAGTGAATAAAATATAAGTGAAGAAAAAAATTTTGGTGGGAAAGGTCTTGGAGACGGAAGAGTAAGATGATGCAATTACTGATTATTGATTTCTGTCCTCCCACCATTCTGATCATATCTCTCAATGGCATTTAACCTGAACTTGGATATGGGACAGATACTATAGTAATCTACCTTGTGGACAATGTTGATTTCCTTTGAAAAACTGGCATGACTGTTGTTACTAACATGTTTATAGACTATTTTGACTGGCCTGATTGTTTTGGTAAAGGTTATTTAGAAGCCATATTTCACGGATTTATGTTGTCCAGGTTTCATGAATAAGGACATATAAATAGGGAAGAAAGGCCAGTTTTTATTTTATTTTATTTAAATTTTTAAAAAAATGAGAAAAAGAAAATATAGATGGTTGGCCAATATTAATATTTGTATATATTTTCTTTATTAAGTGAATTGAAAAGTTAATTTGAAAATAATCATTGGCTTGCTAATGGATGTTTTCAAGGATTATGATTGGATAGTCAGATCTATGTGTTTATTGTATATGTGTGTGTATATGTTTATATCTGTATATTTATATACTGTTAACCCTTGAACAACATAGTTTTGAAGTGTGAAGGTCCAATTATAACCCAGATTTTTCTTCAATAAATCCTGTAAGTGTATTTTTCTTATGATTTTCCTAATAACATTTTTCCTCTAGTTTACTTTGTTGTAATGGTACAGTATATAATACTTATGACACATGAAATATAAGTTAATTTACTTTATGTTATTATTATATCTTCCAGACATCAGTAGGTTATTAGTAGTTAAGTTTTGGGGGAGTCAAAACTTATATGTAGATTTTCTACTGCATGAGGGGTTGGTGCCCCTAACCACTGCATTGTTCAAGGATCAAATATACATGTGTGTGTGTGTGTATGCAAGCGTGTGTGTGTGTGTGTGTGTGAGAGAGAGAGAGAGAGAGAGAGAGAGAGAGAGAGAGAGAGAGAACACTTCACCCTTTGTTTTCAAGTACATTGCTGTGGATGAAGAGTTTGGAAAGTTCTCAGTAAGTTCTCCGAACTTCTCCTTTTTGTTTTGTGTAGTTGCATTTTAAATTAATATATATAAAAATAACAAAGAGTTATTTTTCTAAAGCTCCTCTATCTTGTTCAGGCTTCTAAATACAATTTCTTTACATCATCACAATTTGGATATGGAAATGGATTTGAGACTGTTCTGGAGAAGAAAGGTGGCAAGTTCAGAGCCTTCCGGAAGGGAGCGGGTTTTCCAAAGCCATCAAGAAAGGGACCTGTAGGGAGACTTAAAAGTGAGAGATGAGGGCTTTGATGAGGCCCCAGAAAGCTTTCCTGGAAATGAAGATCAGTGAAATGAGCCATTTATAAGCAAATAACGAGAGAACTGAAGGAAAAAGAGGGTCCTGTTTTTTGTTTAGGCAGGTAATGTGGGCAGTGCTAAGTGTGGCAACAGCAGAGCTGAGAAGGTAGTAAGACTCTTGACTGTCATTTCTAAACCTTCCGACTGGAGAGCAAGAAGGAGCCTGGGAAAGATGCTTGAGTTCCCTCAAACGAATCTGAAGTCTTCCCCCAAAGAGATTGTTGGATTCTCTTTGGTCCCCACCCCCATCCCCCACAGCCCCGTAATTCTTAGAACCTCAGCTTTATCAGCTTTGGGGGAAAACAAGGGTTGTAGGATTTGTTCAAAATAAATTATCCTCAAATTAATGGTCCCCTTATATTAAGCAGTCAACGATGTGTCTACAGAGACGGCCATATGTGAAAGTGCAGTAAAAAACGTGTAGCCAAAACCAAGACATGCTGTTCTGTGGAAAACAATACTTTCAGCAGATTTGGCTTCACAGTCCCTATTAAGATGATGAAGTGGCTTAAGCAGAGGGATACAATCAAGTCTAGAAGGAGCAAAAAGGAAATTGGAAGCAAGATGTCTTAGTAGTCTCTTAAAAAGGCATCATCATTTCATGTGGGGTAATGAGACCTGGGCCCTCTGCAACTGAGTTACCCAAGACTCCCCTTGAATGCTTCTAATTACAGGGGTAGCCAAATTCTATTTGGGGTCAGAAGAGAGATGAAGACATTCTGACCCCCTCACCTGACGATGGCAAGAAAAGACCACTCTTGGTTCTCATAATTTTATCCTTGTCACAGAATATAGAGAAAATTACCTCAGAATCATGCCCTGGGCCACCTAAGGGCCATAAATTCAGACTAGGAGATGATTCCAGAAGGCAATGAATTCTTTCTCTATTAATTCGTATCCCTTAAGACAACCCACAGTGGAATGGTGGTTAGCAGCAAGATGAGAAGTTCCAGAAAGTAGCATGGATAGAGAAATAAAGGGTTTCTTCTCTCTTTGGTTTAAGTCAACTGTAAACAGCTGAAGAAGAAATTGTCAGGAAAAAAGTGCCAATAGGAATATCACTAAAAAAAAAAAAAAAAGGAAAAGAAAAAAAGGGGAAGAAGAAAGAAACAAACTTGAGAATTTTATTAGACACCCAGATTTAAAAAATAACCTCAAAGGACCATCAAACCTAAGTTAAAACCAGGAATCTAGTTCATAGCCTTCAATTAAAATAACAGTATTTGTAATTTTTGTACAGTGCAGTGACCCAGTTTTCACAAACAATCCAAATGTTGCTTTTAAAGGCAGCAGTGTCAGAAAGAAATTAATTCGGCACAAATCAGTCAAGATTCCTCGCACCATTTCTATGGCAACTGGAAGCAAAGAAGATAGAAGGTTTGGTGACAGGAGATTCTGAGGAGGAAAAAGCAAACCACTTCAGGTTGTTTATCAAGTTCAGTCAAATAATAAAAGCCATTGATCTCCCTAAATGAGACTTTTTAAAGTCCTTCACAGTTCTTATCAACGTTATCTAAGCAAAGAGTTCCCCAGCCAGGCACCCTTAAATATCTCAGGATGCTCAGAGGTAATACTGGGGCACTCAAACTATTTGCATTAATTTTAAAAGCCCAATGCAAATGGTACATTTACCTGTTAATTCCGAACCCGTGTAATCCAGTATCTGCACGGAAACACATTTTTTAAAAAGCATGGTACTAAAAAGTAATTAAAAAGAATTTAGGGTGTTTTTTTCCCAAGACACCTCAGCTATATTTCTTCGTAAGCCCATCAACGTTTCTCGTGTTACCACCCCCTTCTCCCCTCTTCTAGTCTTCTTCTGCCCTTCACCCCAGAGCCTTTCATGCATGAAACCCCCCTAAAATCTTCCTCCACCGGCTGCCCTGGGGAATTTTTCTTTCTTTCTTATCTGTTTTCTCCCTTATCTGTTTATTATGGGCCTCTCTCTAACTTCTCTCATAACCCTTTTTCCTTCTTTTCTCCTAGTCCTGTCTGGTTGTCTGTGTTCCCGTTTCTGCCCCCCAGAGGTGTAGGAAGGCCACTCTGTGTAACAGGGTGCAAACAGGGATGGCCACAGTGTTCTTTCATTTAGTGAGCAGAAATCGTTTTAGTGTACACTCATCGTTTAGTGTACACTCATCGTTTTAGTGTACACTCATCGTTTAGTGTACACTCATCGTTTGAACACTGAGCAGCAGCAGGGCCTTGTCTTCATGTGGAATCTTATTTACTAACTTAGGGCTGGGGAACGTAGCCCTTCCTGGTGGACTTTCTCTTGATCCATCCCTCCTGTGTGGTGACTCTGTTGTACCTTTGGGGGATTTCTATGCTTCCACCACACATAGTTCAGAAAATATTGCACAGTGATTATTTTACTGGCCCCTGATTTGACACTGTCCCAATGAGTAACTTTTCAGGTGTGTGTGATGTATTTTTCTCACTAGATTGCGTACCCTTTGGAGATGGAAGACACGGACTCAAGAGTCTTCCACAGCACATTACATGATGCTAGACAATCAGGTGGCATTTTATAGATATCATAGAGTTAATGACATCAGAGATCATGGCACCCAATTTTTTCCAGAAAATCTGTTATTCTGAACAGGCCACTTCTGGAAGCATATGTCAAATAGGGGCAATCATTCTGTAAAAAATCTACAGTAAAAGTATTCTGTGCAGATAACTGGGAAAGGCTCAAATTATACATACCCCTTTGGAAATGTATGGTACGTGTTAGCTTATTGTTTAACTTGTTGAACCCAACGCATTGCAAACCTCCGTGGCCACAAAGTCCACCCCCTTCCTCTCTCAAAGCATCCTTCAGCATCCCACAGTATGGCTGTGGACCCTCCTCCCGTGAACTCTGACCTAGGGTCGCCTGCTAAACCAGGACATGCATCTCAGATAAAAGCCTTTTGTGTGGCTTTTCTAAATCTTGCTCTAGCTTTTCTTCTTCACAAAAATTAACTCTTTAATCAGGTATGAAGAGGAACAATGGAGGCACGAAGGGTAAAA